ACGGATGCCAGAATTCTTGGAATCCTGCCTTTCTTCCTGGTCTTGCAGTTCCTGAGCTGCACAAATCCGTTGATTTGACCCTTGCGAAGCCTTTGTGGCTGTGGGCTGTGGCTGCAGAGAAAGAAACATGCCGGATCTCATCCGCCTCACTGCTTGCCACATGCACAAAAAAAAATGGTTGGGCACAAACTGGAGCGAGCAATTATATAATACCTTGCCTCATCTGCAGTGTCATCACCACTCGGCAAGCGGGCAATAGCAGACATGGGCACGAAGGCAGTTCCTGCAAAGGGGAGAAAGGGGAGATTTGATACCTTCCCCCTGAACAAAGCTTTGAACATTCTGAAGTATGCACATATACATATACATATACATTTGCATATACATATACATACATACAGACATACAGACATACATACATGCATATATAGTAGTCGTGCGTTTTGCGAATCTGCAGGTCACTTTCAAGAAATGTTTGCATTGCTCGACAAAATGTCCCGCACAACCAAGGGTGTAAAAAATAACATGTCCACAAGAAACTGCCTACCTCTGCGCCACAGCAAGCACCGTGAAACTGCGCAATTTGACATCCCAGAGTGGCCTTTTCTCATTGACTTTGCCGTCTCTGAGTCTGTCCCAGCTTCCTCGGATCAACGAAACGTGATTTTTGCTGACAGTGTTTCATCATGCCTTCCCAGAACATGGCATGCACAAGGCTCCAGCATGGGAGAAACTGACTTTCCGTTCAGATGAAGCCGCAGGAGCCTTTCAAGCGCTCCGGCGCATTGATAACACAAGCGCGCCCAACTTACAATCTCCGAGTGAACTAGGCCCAATCCAAAACAGAACACGGGACTGTGGTAGTGCGCATTTTGCACATTTCCTGCCTATTTATAATTTATATTGTACTGCTATCTTATACCACTATCTCTTTATTGTCTCAATGTTGATGTTGGCTGTTACTTGCTTGTGCTGGGAAGGCTTCAGCATGGCTGTGCGTCATAGTCACAAAAAATTAAGCCCCTGTCTCGCTCAGACATTAACTTGTGTGTTTTTCTTTGGTGATTTTGCTCAAGAAGGAAATAGTGATACTCTATGGTTTATAGGTCGTACTAAAACCCTTGAAATTACTGCAGTTGTGGCTTTACATTGAATATTCACAAAGAAAACATATCAACAAATTTCAGCGCAGAGAGTTACTGCAATGAAAGAAGACGCACATTAGATAACTGTATTGCAGAACTCGTAGGATTAATTTAAGTTAAACATAAATAACATTGAAAAAGTAATTTCACTATGTTGAAATGATATTGTGAAGGTAGTTTGTAGCTTTTATGTGCGCAAAACATGTATGAAAACGATTGGCATACTAAATAATGAACCTGAAGGACTACTAAAAGAACAGTGATATAAACAACTGAATTTTGTCAAGTTCAAGAACTATCTTGAATAGAGATTAAAAAATTACCCCTAGTTTACCATATACCAAAGACATCACAATATTAAGCATTAGTATAATGAACTATGGCGCTTGAAAGAAGCATGGAACCAACAAAATGCATAGAAGAACAAGTATTTCGATAATGCTATTCAATATACATGGCTGTGGATATGTGGGTATAAAAAGCTAGATTTGATGAAGATTTTGAGAGATAAGATCTATGAATTCGAACATTGGCGGAGGGTTTTGTAGTACCAATACCAAAATAAGAAAACATGGATTTGCAAAATTAGAAAGATGTTTTGGCGCTATCAATGCATATGTTCAACTGTTGTTTTTGCAATTGGAAAACGAACCAATGAAATAATACCTGTATACATATATATATATTACTAGGTGATGCATGCTCATAATTGCTGTACTTTACCAGGACAAGAATATACTATTCCTCAAACGGTCGTAGCTTTATCGAAATTAGTGAACGCATGTATATACAATATATGTTAAACATGAAATTCTAAGGCATAGCTTCACACCAGTTGAACGGTTATAATAAATTCAGAGCAGGACGCTCTCAGCATACGCATTGTGCTGCTGAACTAAATTTTTGATATTTTGGAGAGTATGGCAAGTTTATACTTTAGAAAAATGTATCAAACATATCAAAGTATAATGAAATTGTCATCGTGATCCTTTCATAGACTATTGTGAAACATATATATATATATAGCGCGCGCTTTTCGGGGCCCCCAGGAAAGCAATTGAGAAGATATTAATAAAACGCGCCCATATATATATACTCTCACAAAAGCACTGCACACAGACTGCATGAAACCTTTCATACTCCATCCAGGTTCTCGACACTCTACATGCTCTCTACATGTGCAAAGCTGCATTGATATTCTTCATTGCAGATTTAATCATGCGCAGACAACAGCCCGTACCTTCGAGGTGGTGAACTTCTTCTAAGCTCTTCAGGTGTGTCAATGCAGTTTGCAGTTCTAATTTGCGACGCGTGCTTTGATCAGATGACGATGAAGATGAGCTAGAAGACGAAGATGGTGAAGATGCAGCATTGGCCTTACCATCCTTGGGGGTTGTCTCGTTGATGCCATCCTCCTCAACGATGTTATCATCCTTTGGCTGTGATTCAACGGCTTCTGAGCAATCGTCCTCAAAGATGTCGTCATCTTTTGGCTGTCATTCAACTGCTTCTGAGCAATCCTCCTGAACGATGTTGCCAACGGCTTCTGGGCAGGAACTTTCAGCAGCTGGTTTGTCCTCCAACGCCAACATATTCTTTCTCTGAAATCTTTCAAGAGCCACGCGTCGAGAACATCTTGCGCTTGACGAGACCACTGGTCAGAAATGCCAGGAGCTAAATTCAAGCTTCTTTGGACATAGTGAATACGCGCTTGAATCTGTCTCGGTGTTCGTCATTTTTTGACTCACACGCTGCTTTGCGGCCATTGACGAGGTCCAGGTGGAGTTCATGGGCGTTGGGCACTGGCACTGACGGCTCAGCATCAGTCCTTGGGTCTGGACGGTAGATGACAGGGTCCACAGTCTGAAGATCCAACGAAAACCGCCCAGGTTCTACTTCAGAACCCATAGCTACAGACTTGCGCTGGGGTCAGTCACTACCAAGGTAACTTCATCAATGAAGAAGTGGTGCGTTTATAAACAGTAGTCAGTGTTTATAAACATGCAAACTGCCAAAGGTAGACCAGAGTAATCAAATACAGATACCAACGACATAAAGCTATATGCTTAACGTCAAATGACATTGAAGTAATCATGCAAGCAAACACACACACAGAAACCACTACAAGAACATACCTTGCAGATGCAGACACTAAAGACATGACATTTTTTGCGTAAAGCTACTGCAGCAGACTGCATTGCAATCTATACCCATACCGTTGGTCAGACAGACTACACAGATGAATGCTTAGGTGATGACAAAACAAAGGCCTTCAGCGTTGATTGAAATGAGTTGCCAATGTTGACTCTGAACACGTACTCACGCAGAACCCCTACATCTACTTCGTCTTTTGCTTCATTTGAAGCTGTGGGCTGGAAGCATAATCTACCATACCGATCTCTCACCATGGTCTTGAGACGAAAAAAAACTTGGACTCAATATCATTCGAATGGAATCCAGTATTGGCATCTCTCCAACCAGTGGAGTGGTTGATGGGCGGAGCCGCCGTCAGCCCAAGACTTTTGATGGCAGCAGTGGATGCTTTCCAAGCGTCACGTACGACAAACGCCTGCTTGGCAACGCACGATTGGATTGCAATCTTCATAGAAGCAGTAGCCCGCGATTTGTGATCTGCAGCAAAAGCAGGCTTTGGCAAGATGGTAAAGGAAAAACGTGTTTTCCGTTCTCGCGCGTATGTCTTGTCTTCTTGTTTCCAACAAGAACTGGGCCCTGGGAGCGGGTGTCCTTCTCAGCACCCACCTTGTGTTTGTTGAACACAGACTTCATCACCGCAGCAGGCCGGCGAAGAGGAGCAGCAGCAGGCCGACGAAGAGGAGCAGCAGTAGGCCGACGAAGAGGAGTAGCGGCAGGCCGGCGCAGATGAGCGGCTGGACGCCGGTGAACGGTTTGCGCTGGAAGTCTCTTTGCCACACGTTGCGAAGTCATGGCCTTTGTTCTCTCTGAACTACGACCAGATGATGATGACTTCGAAATGCCCCGTTGACTGCCCAAGTTTGTCTCATCAAAGACCACGACGTCTCCAGGAGTAGCACCAACGATCATGCTGCTCTGGTGCAAGAGGCAGTTCTGCAAAGAGGACTGGTATAATGTCCGCCATCGGCGCATGGTCTTGTCAGAAAAGCTGTTCCCAAACATAGACTGAAGCTCAGACTGAATTTTGCTCCACCTGTAGTTTAGCCGCATTGCGTTGGAGAAGTACAAGAAAGGCAACCACATGGAGCAAGACACTTTGGACAGAAGACCTGCCGGACAAAGGGAAGAACGAAAGCATTTGTGACCTCGTTGACAGCAACGCCATGGGATGATTGTCATAAGTCGGTCTCTCACTATTGCAAGCCGCATTAGTGAATTAGTTGAAATAAATGGTTGATCTGTTTGCAAAGGATTGATTTGTGAGCAGATGAACTGCATTGATCAAATGAATCAGTTGGAGCAGATGATACAGTTGAATCAAATGATACAGTTGGATCAAATTCAAATGAATAGCCGAAGGATTTGATACAGTTGGATCAGATGATTCAACATGAATGCTTCCCCGGGGGGCCCGAAAAGTCCACGAACCCATATATATATATACACAAAGGCTCGAATCTTCACACGCTCTGTTTTCTGCTAAGCAAGGCCATATTAGTCAAAGATTAAAGTGGAACACAAACTGAACCTTCACAACATTCTCTCTACAGTTCCCCTCGCAACTGCCGCCAAGCCGAACAGTTAACCTCTCCGCCACACTGAAAGAGATTATGTGCCCATAATCCCCATTTTTAGGACAACTCTTGTCACATTTTTCGCGGAAAATTCAAACGCAAACGGCCCCCTGAGCCACTCTCATTGTTTTTCGCTGACCTGATCGCTTTGCGAGCGGGCTCAAGCGAGGGTAAAGAGCTATGTTATGAATTCAAAAAGATTTGCCTGAAGCGACGATTTGGTCCTGTCCGTGGGATTCGCATGGAAGCTATGGCCGCCAGGCCGTCGTTCACATATGTCCGAGCGGTCCGGGCATCCTGCCACCGACCGTAAAGCAGGAGTCTGTCCATGGTTCCCCACTTTTTAAACCAAAAGAGAGTAAGGCCTGAACTGTAAGGAAAAACCCAAGGCCTAAAGGGTATTGTTGACAAGCTTGCGCCGCTGCGCCGGCTTAGGACAGAGGGGAGTACGCGAGCTTCATCAACCCACTGGTGCAACCAACGAATTACCTGCTCCGAGGTCACTGTCACTGTCACGGCCCGGGGGATTGTGGCTGCTTGGCACTCGTAAATCTCCCATGACGGCCAGTAAAGACGTGGACGATCACGCCCGGTCACCCCAGAAGAATCAAGGTGGTATGGTGTGCATCCAGCAGACTCACTCATGACCTCCCGGTCACACTGATCCATTGACGCCACTGATTCCATCAAACGTTCAAAGGGAAAGTGTTCCTGGAGCAACAACCGAACACGCCCAATGTGGGGAAAGAGACTGCTGCAATGGTCACGAATGACTGCCGACACCTGGCTGAACTGGCAAGCCCACTGTCTGACCATGTCAGTATCGACGTCCTCAACTTGTCTCACAAACAAAGTACCAGGAAACCTACTCTCAACACCCTGTTGGCAGGCTCGTGGCACTCCACTGAGACGTGTCCTACCACAGACATTCCCACGGCATCTGCTGCCACGCGCAAGCCGCTGATGCCATGTCGCCACGAATGGGCATATTTGCAGCGATAGTGCCCATCTGGAACAGTCCCATTGTGACACCTCCTCCGAAAGTAGAGGCATCTGACGCAGTGACCGTACTCGAAAGCTCCATCCGGAAGTCCACGCGCGCCAAGGGTACCAGCAGGCAGAAGCGACGCAGCTCCACTCGCACTTCCAGGGGAAGCTCTTGCGTAAAGGGATCATCCTCAAAGCTTTGTACAAATCTCCACACTGAATTCAATGCTCCCAACACCCCAGCTACTACTTCAACTTGACTTTGGGTGGCCCGTCCCTTCTCCAGCAAATGACAAAGGTGGAGGTAGATACCCCATGTTCAAATAGGAATACTACTTTGCTTTTCTCTCCTCGTTGGCTTCTACGGCGTGTTACGGACGGGAGAGATCTTGGAGTTGAAGTCAGGTCAGATTCTGAGCGCCAGCCGTGATCTCTTTGGGCCTTACGAAGGGCGGCCAGCGACAAGGAGCCGCCGAGAGCGCTGGAGTTGGATGGGGCCGCATTGAAAAGGTGGAGCTCTACACAGAGTTGGAGATGGAACAATTCCTGGAAGTTGGGCGGCGCAAATGCAGCGATGAACGTTTCCCGACCTTTACCACGAGTAGGCCACGAGGTGACCCGGGGCGAAAGCTTGCGGGTCTGCATCAGTGCACAGCGGAAGAACTGGCTCGTTGGACCCGCTGAGCATATAAATGTCCTGGAAATGCGCGCTGTGTTGACTGCATTGAGATGGCGTTTCTCCAAGAAGGGATGGCTCTGCACCCGCTTCATTCACTTGGTGGACTTGCAGGTATGCTTGCACGCCCTCGCACGGGGCCGATCAAGCAGCCGCAAACTACGGCGAACCCTACTACGCATAGACTCCCTTGTTGGCATTACGGACCAAAACCCAGCGGACGCCCCAAGTAGGCGTCCAGTCCGCAAAAAATGGGTGAAGTCAAGCAGGCAAACTCTTCGTCGAAGGGTGCTCACAGGAGGAAAGAAAGCGTAGAAGGGGACAGCTAGGAACCTTGCAGCCACTCACAGTTCAAAGTCGCACCAGACAGCGTTACAACAAGGCAGCAGCAGAGCCCCTCTGTCCATCCACTTCAGCGCCTTGAACCTCTGCCCTAGTTGACCTTGCTACGGCCTTCTTTGGATGCCTGGGGGCCTGCGGCCTGCAGCCTTCTGTAGGCCTCCCTCAATGCTTCAACCAACGGCGGAGGGGTCTCCCCTTCTTGGATGCGCTCAGCAGTCCGGGAGTCAACTTTCTCCAACACGTCAAAGTTATCCAGGTAAACTGCGATCTTTACGATGCTCTGCCTCCCGACCCATCCTGCTTCCCCACAAACACGCACTCTTGGACCGCCTCTCCCACAATGGTTCGATGCACGCGTTGAGCCATGAGCCAGGGAAACTGAGTTGCAAAAACCCATTGGTAGAACCCTGTACAGAGATAGTAGTTCTGCAATTGATCTGCAAAGGCCAGGAATCGATACCAATCCGAGGGCACGGCGAAGATGTAAAAGAAGCGTCTCACGTTGTCTGAGCTCACCATCAGGGTCTCGTTCTGGCCTAGAGCAAATGGGTGCATTGACGGCCAAGCGGGCAAAGTGCTGATGTCACCGTTCATTGGTCGGCAGATACGGTTCAGTGGGATCAAGTTCATAATCAATCTATGAACTGGCGCTCCTTGTGAGTCTTCATCTTTGGGTCTTTGGGGACTCCAAATAGTCCATTCAACAACAGCATGCTCTGCACCCGGAAAATCTCATCCTCCCCAATCAATCCACACACCCCTTTCTCAAGCAAACCACAATTTGCTCCCATCGCGAGTCTTCTACCATGACCACAGGAGCACGGGTGTGTACCTGTTCAGCTTCCGGCAAAAGATAGCTCCCAAAATTCATCACGTAGTGTCGCGAACCCTTTGACACCGCGCTTTCAAGCGCTCGGGCATAGTGGCATAGTTTCCATAGGGCATAGATTGGCATCCTTTCCATTCAGGGCTTCATCCATCAGCCGCCAGAGCTCCTCCGAGGTTTCATCCTCATCCACCTCTTTGAAGGTCGGTCTCACTTGTCGGTCTTCTCCCCCTTTGGGCGATCTCGATCTCCCTTGCCTCCTTTGTTCTTCCCCTTCTCCGATCTGGCTGGATTCCCAGACTCCCTTCTGGAGTGTCCCCCATGCCGCCGACGCTGGGCATACTTGACGCGTACCAAGCCATCTGCTTCCGGGGTATTCGAACAGCTGGACGGGCATACATGACCATCTCAGCAAAACTTCGTCCTCTGTTCCGGACAGCCTCTGTTCGAGTTCGACGGCTCCTCTCACAAATTTGATTGCCTCGACATCCACGGCCAGCCTGACCAGCAGACTCCACGACATAGGATCTGAAGCCCAGGCTCCCACTCACCTAGTGGGATATCTTTCACTTCAACTTCTCCTCCCTCTGCAAAGCCTGGTGGGGCGTCTGGTGCAGCTGCAGGCCTCCTCAAGCCCGCCACCAACCTCCTCACGCGTCTCCCGTCCGCCGCTGGCCGAGCCAGAGGGCGAGGAGGCATCAACGGCCCTTCCGCTCCTTGTCCTTGAGAATCTCCTTCACCTCAAGGAACTGCTTGATATCCAGCTGCCTCTCTGTCTTCTTGACTCCTTTGTTGGTCCCCTGCCGACGATCAGGCGGAGGGGGTGGAGGCCGCCTCAACAAGGGATTGCTGGGCCGGATGGTCTTGGCGGTGAACTAACTAGGCCTCGGTGGTGATGGACGACTTGCTGCCGCCCTGGGAGTGCTGGAAGACCTTCTTTCCTCTGACTTTGATTCCCGGCGCCTTCTCCTTCGGCGCCTCTTCTTCTTCTTCTTCTTCTTCTTCTTCTTCTTCTTCTCGCCCTCCGACCTTACTGAATCTCTTCTTCAGGGTGAGGAGAGCCAGAAGCAACCTCCCTTACACCCAATGCGGAATCGTCTCGATCCACACCTTCTTCCTCTCTCTTCACACGAGTTTCTCGCTCCTCTGATGGATGGTGACGCTGTGGCGGTGGTGACGACTTGACCTTTGCACTGCCGGCGGCCGGTCCACTATCTCAACACTGTCACGTCGCCCTTCTGGATCCCGGTCTCGCTCTGGTGACTTCTCTCTGGCGCCCTCTTCTTTGCGCTCGTTCTCCTGATTCTCGACTGCCCGTGTAGATGCCTCTGCCCTGTGTCCTGCCCTGGTCGAATTCTCCCTGCTGTCTGAAGGCCTGGCTGTCCCTGTAGGATCTTCAGCAACTCGTGGACCAGGCCCAGCAGTACGAGGCGGGGGAGGCCGTGCTGGGCCCTCCCGTGCCGCCGGAGGATTTACCTCGATGTAGTCCTGTAACTCACCGAGGAGATTTCCCGCCCTCAAGGTGGCGTACGGCACAAAGCCAGGTACCTGCGAGCCGGTTGCCACAACCCTCAACAGGCGTGCCAGCGCCGGGCAGAGCCCGCACTGACACGAGGGTGTGTGCCCCCGACTCACATGCATCAGCTTTGAGCCGAGCTGGCGGAAACAGAGGCACAATGAAGTCTCACCTTTACGAACGGGGGCGTTAGTACATATGATATCAATCAATGAAAAAGAAATTGGATAGAACAATTCTATACAATGAGGTGCAAAATGACAAACAAGAAAAAGCACACTGCCACACTCACCTCATCCAAAACTGGTACGAAATAATATACACTTCAAGGTTCTCTGATCCGTTATCCACACTTTGAAAATCAGTGACCTCAGT